TGGCTGTTCCCCATGTACTGATTGAGGACCATTTGGAGGGACTGACAGATTTCCTGCAAAGGACCAGCCTCTGTTATAGAGTATGTCAGATTGCGAAGGGTGTCAAGCTGCCCACGCACAACCTTCAGCCAAGCTGGTCACTTCTCCTGAGTTGTCTCTTGTCAGATTTTCAGGCGGCAAACACTCTCGTTCACTCACTCCTCCCATGCTACTCCCTCTGTCAGGATCATCTGTACAAAATGTTTGAACAGCTTCCTGGAGAGTCGAGGCCTGCAAGGGCATGCTGTCTCCAATCACATTGTCTGATCCCTCTGCTTCATTTTCATCTTCAACTCGAGTTTTCTTATGTTTCTTTTTCTTCTTCTGAGTTGTGTCCAGAGCTGGCTGCTCTTGCACTGCCTTCCTCTTTGCTGAAATGCCCATCTTCTTGCACTGAGTATAAACGAGATTTGCAATGTCCTTGAGCCGAGGGTAATATGCCCTATCATCATCATGGGGAACAACCATGTCCTCAAAGTGTTGCTTCTTCACATGATCATCTAGAAGACCCTTTATAACCTTGGGGGCTGTGATTCCCTTTGAGACGAGCTCCTTAATCTTGTTGGTGATGGAGGGGTGGACACCCCGGGACTTGCCCTGTAGTGGGTGATTGTGGACGGAACTGAGGGGCATTGTTACGTGGTACAGCTCCTCCTTCTCTAGCGCTAGACCCTGCTCTATGTCTCTCCGCAGGGTCTTGAGCATCACCTTTCGCTCCTTGGCAGTCGCACTTGGGGATACTGCATAACCAGGATACCTGTGTGATGAGAAAATGGACAAATAGATTTTATCACTACTACTACTAATCCTGCCTTTTAGATATAGAGAAGAAAATTCTTATCAAACATACAATAAAAATAAGAGGAAAATTACTTTCTTAGTAGTCATGAAGGAAGAAATATTATCCACCTTGAGGTAATAATGTGTAAGAATGAAACTGTAATCTTGGTATAACAAAGTTGAAAGTTCTCCTTTTCAATGTTTACATGATATTAGTGCCCTCAGAAGTATGATATAAAAACAGTAAGAACATTTATATGTGGAAGCAATCGAGGCAAACCAGATTTCTTGTGTTACCTGATATTTACATTTCCTACACACTTTATTACACACTCTCATCTGGTTACCAAGCCACAAAAGATAAAGAACAGCATATTCCCACTCACTTGACAATGACTTTGACAGTAATCCTGGCAGTGCAAGAGGTATACGTCACATCCTTGTACCTCTTCTTTGGCTGGTTATTTGTGTCTGCAATTTTTGTGACCCGCTCTTTCCCTGGCTGCCCTCCCCCCCCTCCCTCCTTCAACTCTGTACAGCTTCCTAAAGGTTCTTCCTCAACAAACTCCTCCTCCCCTTTATTGGTCGCTAATTTCCCTTCAGCTGTGGAATCCGTGCCTTTTCTCTGCAAATAAATGTAAGTACGATGAGTATCATATATTTAAATGAATAAAAAAAATTATATATGAAATTACTTTTGAAGAAAAGAATATAATTTTTCAATCATCCCAACTAATTACTGACCTTAATCTTATAGTTCATGCCAAAAGCACACTTCAGATCATCTGAGGATACAATGGTGAAAGGAACGCCATCGAACATAATTCTCTGGTGATGCCACATTATGCGGCTCACCTGTGCTCGCGTGCGATGTCGCTGTTCCAAGCTGCTTGGATGACTGAGGAAAGAACACAACTATGACAATAACCCTTATACAGTAAAAATGCTCAGTTATATATAGATACACAGATACATAGACACATACATACATACACACACACATTATAAAATAATATATAACACAACTGACATGTTTTCTTTTCTTTTGCCCTTGCCCCTGTCTCTGAGCCCCACCTTTTGATGTAGTCACACAGAACACTGCGCGAGTGACCTTCGAGAGTCTGATGCAGGACAGAGCTGCTGGAGGCCACACCCACAACCCACATGTCATCCACCAGGCGCACGGAGGTTAGTCGCTGCGCCCACAAGGGAAGTGTACTGGGCCCCGGTTCTCTGGGTATTGAGGGCTGGGGGAGAAAGTTGATGAAATATAATTGAGGAAAGAAACATATAAACATGGATTCAACAATTTTAATCAGCTTCTATTCATGCTATTTATAAAATATTTGGGAGAGAGAGAGAGAGAGAGAGAGAGAGAGAGAGAGAGAGAGAGAGAGAGAGAGAGAGAGAGAGAGAGAGAGAGAGAGAGAGAGAGAGAGAGAAACTAGCTCTTACCATGACTTTTTCTAACATGCAGTTTCCTTTCTCTCTTGGCTGTATCTGCAATCTTTTTGGTTTCTTGGTTTTTAATTTTCCAATGTCATCTACTTCATGAATGTTTTTCCATCTTAGTCTTGCCTTCTTTGCTGACTTCCTCCTTGGTCTTCCTTGTTCTTCATTCTCACTGTCGTCTTCTCCTAGAAATTCCTCCTCAGGTATTTCGCCCAGAGATATCAAGGGG